TAGCCCGACCTACTTGAAACTATGTTTCAAAATGAACAATTTTAAAAACATATGTATAACCTTTTGCTTCTGGGGTAAATGGTTAAACATTTAGAGTTGGCTTTTCATGATATTCTGCCTGGTTTGGCAATTTGAAATTGAGGAAGGAGGCAGGTACAAGTATAAATGAAAAAAAATTGCTCATGAGCTTTTAACTGAAATTAGGAAGGGGCTTATCTTACTGTTCTGTCCACACTGGTGTGCATAGCAAGCTTTCTACAATGAAAATAGCAATAGCAACAAAAAACTAGAATACAGCTACTCAAAGACAATTATTCTTGAAGTCTTAAGAAATCTGTCACTTAAATCTGCCGTCTACCATTTTCTGTGTTTGAAGGCTGTGTTAACTTGAAGAAGTGCCAGCCACTCCCTGTACTGGTCCCAGCCTCTTCATGTGGCCTGACTGGAGCTCCAGGCCTCACACTCTTATTCAGAACTTTGAATCAATGGGTTGTATGGAATCCACAGGGTTGATAAGGCCAGCCATGAGGGGCTGGATGCCAGCCACACTTTATCTTTCTTCTAATTCTCCAAATCATCTGGGGATTCTTAGGACTCCCTGGAATTCTTTCTACAAATCTTGCCTGCAAATAGTTTCTTTTGCTACGACCTGAGTTTGGGAAGTAGAACAATTGAGGGTCAGATAGTGCTAGATTGTGCATATTACTTGGCACACAATTTTCCCCTTCATATTGCTCACTTGGGGTGTGTTTGTAGCTTACAGATGTCCTCACCCTCTGTCCTCAAACACCTTTAGTGCTGTAACAAGGATGAACTCTCTCTTTTTTTGCTCCTCCCAGAAGTGGGAGAAGGAAAGGAAGGCCTCCATAAAAAATCCCCTTTCCGGGACTGAGGAGTTGGCTTAACACTTAAGTGTTTATTGTGCTCCCAAAGGACCAGAGTTTAGAGTCCAGTATCTACCTCAGGTGGTTCACAACTGCCTGCAACTCCAGCTCCAGGAGATCTGATGGGGGGGGGAGTGGGAGGGTAGGGGGTAGGGAGGGTGGGATGGGGGGGAATGTTGGTTTTTTGAGACAGGATTTCTCTGTGTATCCCGGCTGTCCTAGAACCAGCTGAGTAGGCTGGCCTCAATCTCAGAGATCTGCCCGTGTCTGCCTCCTCAGTGCTGAGATTAAAGATGTGTACCACCACTGCCCAGCGTGATGCCATCTTCTTGTCCCCAAAGGCATCTGCACCCATGTTGCAAATACTCACACAGATAGACACACAAATCATGAAAAAAAATCTTAAAGGAGAAAAGTTCCTTTCTGTATAACTAAGAGGAGGGGACAGGCCTCTCCGCCTTCCTAGGCATCACCCACCACCCTGGAGGCGCTAGTCACTACCCCAGCAAAGCGCGACTATCACTCAGGCCTGCTGTCCATGGACATCAGTGTTCTCATGACCTGGCCCGCACTGACAACAGGACCAAAGGCTGTTTCCAGGGCCTCTCTGAGGTCAGAAGTTTCCCTGACACAGGCCCAGTAAGACCCTCCATTTCCTACCTCCTGTGAGCCTCATGGCAGCTCCTGTGGACCCAACCTGAGTGACAGAGGCTGAGAAAAATATGGGCAGAGAAGCCCTTTCCACCCTCTGCTGGAGCAAGGTCATCTTGAGTCAAGACGGAAGACTAGAGGCCCCAAAGTGTCCCAGGGATCTGGTTCCTCTGGTCTTGGGCAGCCAAGAGTAGAGGAAGACAGTCGGCTGGAGAAAAGCCCGTCAGATGCCTGTCGCAGCATTAATGGCCCTCTCATCAGGAGCTGCCATTTGCTGAGCACCTACTATGTGTCAGTCCTTCCCCAGAGTTTTACTGACACAGTGAGTGATATTTGGGTTTCACAGTAACTCTGCCAGCAGGGTGCTGGGGACATCGAGGTGACACTAGGTCACACCTGTGCTTCAGTCAGCTCAGGATGAATCTCCCACGGGCCAGTTGCCGCCCTGGAGGCCACTCAGTCTTGGCAATGCCAGGGGTGTGTTGGAGGTGCCTCATCCCACTTGGGTGGGTCTGTGGAAACACCGTCGAAACTTAATCACAGATTCCTTCACTAGGGTTGTCCCGGAGCTCCGAGGAACTGGCTTTTTTTTCCCCCTGCTGCTGAGTTCCTGCTCTAAAGTCCCAGGGAAGGTGGAGGTGGAGGTGTGGTTCAGAGGTACAGGGATCACCTAGCACATACAGGGCCCTGGGTTCATCCACAGCTTTGCAAAAGTTACATGCACAGACACGCATACGCGCATGCGCACATGCACGCGCGCACACACATAGATACACACACAGGCACGCACGCACATGCACACACACATGCATGCGCACACACACGCTCGCACACGAGCGCGCGCACATACACGAGCACACGCACACAGAGGCACGCACGCGCGCACGCACACACACAGATACACACACAGGCACGCACGTGCATACACACACACACACACACCACTTCGGAGGCAGTCCCCGAGCAGGGTTCAGAGCTGGGCTGGCACCGTTAGCTGCAGCCAGGAGCCTTCCCTCACACTAAAGCCCGGTGTCTCGGGACTGCACCCATAGTTGTTGCAATGGGCTAGATGCTTATGCCTCTCTGCATTAGTCAGGGTTTCTACTGCTGCGATGAAACGCCATGGCCATAGAGCAAATTGGGGAGGAAAGGGTTTATTTGGCCTACTCTTACACATTGCTGTTCACCACTGAAGGAAGTCAGGACAGGATCGTGGAGGCAGGAACTGATGCAGAGGCCATGGAGGGAGCAGCTTATTGACTTCCTTCCCATGGCTTGCTCAGTCTGCTTTTTATTTTGTTTTTTGTTTGTTTGTTTGTTTGGTTTTTGTTTTTTGTTGTTGTTGTTTGTTTTTTGGTTTTTCCAGACAGGATTTCTCTGTATTGTTTTGGAGGCTGTCCTGGAACTCGCTCTGTAGACCAGGCTGGCCTCGAACTCACAGAGATCCGCCTGCCTCTGCCTCCCGAGTGCTGGGATCAAAGGTGTGTGCCACCAGTGTAGTTTGTTTTTGTGAGACAGGGTTTCCCTGTGTAGCTTTTGGAGGCTGTCCTGGAACAAGCTCTTGTAGACCAGGCTGGTCTCGAACTCACAGAGATCCACTTTCCTCTGCCTCCTAAGTGCTGGGATTAAAGGCATGAGCTACCACCGCCCGGTCCAACCTGCTTTCCTATAGAAGCCAGGGCTAGCAGCCCAGGGGTAGCACCACCCACCATGGACTGGGCCCTCCCCCATTGATCACTAGATGAGAAAATGCCTTACAGCTGGAGGCATTTCCTCAACTGAGTCTCCTTCCTCTGATGACTCCAGCTTGTGTCAAGTTGACACACAAACCCAGCCAGCATAACCCCCAAGCTTCCAAACAATGGAATCAGGACATGGGCTTTGGGTAGGGCATTAGGTCATGGGATTAATGCTTTGTAAAGAAGGAACCAGAGAGCTAGCTCTCTCCTGCCACCATGCCAGGACCCAGAGGGGGAAAATGCCATGTATGAACAGAAAGCAGGTCCCTACTGTACATCCAAGCTACAGTTACTTGATCTTCAATGTCAGCTTTCACTACTGTAAGAAATGGATTTTGGCTGTTTATCTTTCTGTGGTGTTTGGATGCAGGCAGCCAGAACGGTCTTGGCCAGCTAAGTGCTGTGGTTTCTTATGCACCGGGACTGAGGGCATGGCTCTGTTGACAGAGCACTTGCCCAGTGTGTGGGGGGCCCTGGCTTATAGCCCTAGTCCCTCGGAAATGGGGCATGGATGTTCATCACTATAATTCTGGTGGAGGCGGGAGAAATTCAAGGTCCTCATCAGTTACGGAGTGACTTAAGGACAGCCTAAGACAGCCAACCATCACTTCTTCAGACACTAGGAGACGGCGTTCCAGCTTCTTCAGTAAGGGAGTTGTGACAATGGAACTAAACCCTGCTGGGGTGATGTGGATTTATGCGGCTGCTGCAGCTACTTAGATTAGCAGCAGCAGTAGAGAGAGGGGACTTTTGCGCTCTGACAGTGCTGGGCAGCATGAAGAGGCTCACCCTGACCAGTTGGAGAGCTCGGAGAAGGAAGGGGCAGGGTCGGGAGCTACATTGCTGCTGCTTCCCCTTAGACACCGAAACTCTCTCTGAACACAGGTTTTCACTAAGGCTCTCATGCTCTCATACGCCTGGAGTAGTTATGGTTTGATAAGTGACACCCATGGCTCTTATTCTCCAGTGGCCAATCACCTGGCCCTTTGCAGCATCAATTAACACAAGGGGTAGATTAAAGGTAAGACTTGTCAGTTGCAGGTGAGATTCTAGAAGAGGCAAAACATGTTTCTGACCCTCTCCTCCATGTCCCCTGTCCTGGCCAGTTGGCCCCTCCCACATTACCTATGTGTTCGTGTGCTGAATATCTGATCTTTTACACTTGTCATCTGTGTCCTAGTGCTCTGATCTTTAGGCTTAATGACTGGGTAGGCAGAGGCTGCCTTCTGCCTCCAGTTCATTGTGGACATCAACGTGACCTTATTTTTCCATTATCTGCATCACAATAACTTTACCATTCCAGGAGACTCTTGCCCAGGCAAAGAACAGATTGTTCATTACAGGGATTTCCCAAAAGACCCATCGACTCTTTAACAGGACGCATCAGTGAACATTTCACACCTGTGACCTTCAAAGCCCTGGCCTCGCCCTTTCCTCCAACACGGAACTGTTAGATCTTGCCCCAAACCCAAGGATGCCCCCGCTTTTGAAAGTCTCTTCCCTAGTTCTCAGTGAGACCTGCTCCCCCCCCCCCCCCCACACACACACTGCTGGTCCAGCCCTTTGCTGTCCTGGTTGGCTGGAAATGCTGCCGGGACAGCCAGTGCCCCAGATCAATGAGCACATCTCTTTCCTCCTGAGCAGGTCTGAAGCACTCCTCCCAGAGAGCTCTTATGATCGCACTGAGCCTAGCTGACCCTGGTTAAAGCCCAGCCAGGAGCCTTCCGGGGCCAGGATGGCCACGGTCCTTTTCACTGAGCACACGGAGCTGCTCTTGGGTGTTACAGGGACACGAGTAGGCAGCCATGGACATAGAGCCCCTCATGAAACTGACTGACTGAAATACTGCTCTCCGGCCCTCAGAGACTTTCATGGTAAGTCATGGTGGGCAGTTATTCTCCGTTTTAGACCCGAAGAAGAGCTGAAAAGAGAAAGCTCCCTGGTCCATTGTGCTCATACACTGCACACTCACAGCTCAGGTCTCTCCTTAGACCAGGGATCACTGTTTTTAAGAAGAGAGCAATTGAATGTTGGTAGACAGAAAGGTCTTTAGGGAATGGAGAGATGGCTCAGTAGTTAAGAGCACAAGCTGCTCTTGCAGAAGCCCCAAGTTCAAGTCTCAGCCCCATCAGACAGCTCATAATTGCCTTTAACTCCAACTCCACAGGGATCCTGAATCTCTGACCACCTAAGGTACCTGACACACACACAGACATACACATAGACACACAGACACACACATACAGAGACAGAGACACAGACACACAGACAGACACACACCAACACACATACAGAGACAGACACACACACACATACAGGGAGACAGAGACACAGACACACACAGACAGACACACACCAACACACATACAGAGACACACAGACACACACATGCAAAGACACACAGACAGACAGAGACACAGACAGACACGCATAGACAGACACACACATAGACACACACATACAGACACACATAGACAGACAGACACACACACACACAATTAAGTTTTGAATTTTGCTCGCCGTGCAGAAGGGCCTACTGTGGGGAGAGTGATGATGTAAAGGTGAAAGGCATCCAAAGGAAAACATTACCAAGAGACTTAGAACAAGCCTGGTGGCCTTGCTTTTAGTGCCGGTGCTCAGGAAGCAGAGCTGGGCGTATCTGTGAGTTCGAGACCAGCCCGGTCTACTAATGGGTTCCAAGCCAGCCAAGGCTACACAGTGAGACCTTGTCTCCAGAAACAAATGGACAAAAAAGAAAGCAAATTAACCCTGAATCAGCACTGGACCACTCTCCTGAAAGGGGTCGTTCCCCAGTCCTCACAAAGCTGCCCTTGTCTCTCTGTTTGCCACACTTGTCTCACACTTGTCTCTGTCACACTTGTCTGTCACACTTGTCTCTCTGCTCGCTTGTCTATCTGTTTGGACACGCCTGGAGATGGGTAGTAAGTGCTGGAAGGTTTTAAAAGTCTGACCAGATTGTTTAATGTGGTGGCTCTGGGTGGACCTGAGCCTCAGTCAGACCACACAGCTGGAAACTCCTGGAAGGAGACGAAAGTCTCACTTCCTTTATTTAGTGCCATTAAAACTCAAGGCTAAAAATTTCAGGGGAGGTGAATGACAATTTGGGGCCATATCTGAGTTACAAGTGATTTCTCCCTTACTGTGGCCTCCTAAGATCTCAACCCATTATGGTACAAAATAAAAATAAGGTTAAATTTTTGTTTGTTGTTGTTTTCTTGTTTTGTTTTTTGAGACAAATTTCTTTGTGTAGCTTTGGAACCGGTCTTGGAACTCACTCTGTAGACCAGGCTGACCTTGAACTCAGAGAGATCCTCCTGCCTCTGCCTCCCTAGTGCTGGGACTAAAGTAGCCACTTTGTTGTTGTTTTTTTTAAACATTATTATTATAATGTGTGTGATGGGGGTGTGGGCACTTACATACAAGGTGAGTGTGTGGAGGCCAGAAGATGTATTTGTAGAATTGGTTTTCTCCTGTAACCTTTGTGCGGGTTCAGGGGCTCGAATCTAGATCATTAGACTCTGCAGCAAGTGTTTTGTGTGGGTTCAGGGGCTCGAATCTAGATCATTAGACTCTGCAGCAAGTGTTTTGTGCGGGTTCAGGGGCTCGAATCTAGATCATTAGACTCTGCAGCAAGTGTTTTGTGCGGGTTCAGGGGCTCGAATCTAGATCATTAGACTCTGCAGCAAGTGTTTTGCCCACTCAGCCAGCTCACTAGCTACACGCCTGCCTCTTAAAGTTTTTTCTTTTTAAAAAGACCTTTAAAACTACTTTTAAAAGTTACTGGTCATGGCAGCCTGTAGAGGAGACTTTTCTCCTTACACCCAATTCCACTTGGACAGGTTTCTCTCGGCCTACTATAAGATAACCACTCAGAGACTTACTATATATTTATAATTGTTTGGCCAGTGGCTTAGGCTTATTACTTGCTGGCTCTCTCTCTTATAAATTAACCCATTTCTACTGATTTGTGTATCACCACGTGACTGTGGCTTGCCAGTGGTGCCCTGGCACCCTGCCTCCCTGGTGGCTACATGGAGTCTCTGTGACTCCGTCTTCCTTCTCTCTATCTTTGTTTGGAATTCCTGCCTGCCTGTATTTTGCCTGTCCATTGACTGAAACAGCTTTATTTATCAACCAATAAAAGCAACCCATATTCGCAGCATACAGAAGAACATCCCACATCAGCACCCATGCTTGAAATCCTAATACCCATGCTGCCGTCGGGGGGGGGGGGGCCCCCCGCACACCTTTAATCCCAGCACTGGGAAGGCAGACACAGGCAGAGAGCTCTGTGAGTTCATGGAGGCCAGCCTGGTCTACAGAGTGAGCTCCAGGACAGCTAAGGCTACACTCAGGAACCCTTTCTCAAAAAACCAACCCCCACAAAAAGCAAAAACAAAAAGGAAAGAAAGCCTAACGCTCACAGAAAATGAGGTGGAAGGGTTGCCGTGAGTGGTCGGCCTCAAACTTGAGTTCCTTCCCACTCGTCCTGTGACTACCTAGGATTGTAAGCTTGTAGTTCAGCTGCCTTGTGTTGGGTCCTGTGTGAGCAGGACTAGAAATGTTTGTCCTGGTTTGTAGTGGTGACATGTGCCAGCAGAATAACTCTGTCTTCGTTAGGGTTACCACTGCTGCGAGGAAACACCGTGACCAAAAAGCAAGTTGGGGAGGAGAGGGTTCGTTTGGCTTCCACATCGTGGTCTGTCATTGGAAGGAGCTAGGGCAAGGGACTCAGGTGGGACAAGGACCTGGAGGCAGGGGTGGTGCAGAGGCCAGGAAGAGCTGCTGCCTTCTGGCTGGCTCCTTACACCTCGCTCAGCCTGTTCTCATATGGAACAATGGTTCTCAACCTGTGGGTCGTGACCCCTTCGGCAAGCCTCTGCCTCCAAAAACTATTTACGTTACAATTCAGAACAGTAGCAAAATTACAGTTATGAAGTAGCAACAAAAATAACTCTATGGCTGGGAGTCACCGCGACATGAGGAACTGTATTAAAGGGTCACAGCATTGGGAAGGTTGAGAACCACTGTTTGAGAACCCAGGACCACCATCCTAGGGGTGGTACCACCGGCAACGGGCTGGGCTCTCCCTCATCAATCACTAATGAAGAGAAAGGCCTACAGGCTTCCCTACAGCCTGGTCTTATGGAGGCATTTTCTTCTCCTCTCTGAACTCTAGCTTATGTCAAGTTGACATAAAACTGTCCAACACATCCACAAAGGCATAGTTCTTTAAGATGTGATCCATTACCTTGTCTGGACCTTGTCTGGAAGTGCAGAACCTGATCTCATGCCAACTTCAAAGCACTTGAACCAGAACCCGAATTTCAACAATGTGCCTAGGCAATTCAAGTGTACATTGTCTGAGAAGCCCTGGGCAAGCATTAATTGAGACAGGTTGCAGACTTCCTCCAGGCTTATCTCTGGAATCTGCTGTCACCCACAGACGTAAAAATGAACGGTGAACATGCTGTGGGTAGTAGACTTAATCCCAGACTGGAAGTTATTTTTGCTCTGAACTCAGCTTGCTTTCTTGCCTCCGTCAAAGGGGCGCTAGCATGGTAGATAACTATCCGGAGCAGACACTCCTGGTCCCCTTGCCACCCGCTCTGCATTGGGTGACCCTGCCCAGAGCTCTGGTTCTCTCTTCTCCTAGGCAAAGGGCCCTGAGACCGCCCCTCTGTGTGCCTCTGGGTGGCCTGGAGAGCAATTCTTCACAATGCAAAAGAATGAATGAGACTGAGAGCCCCGCCTCTCAGGAGGGGAACACACAGAACAGCAGGTTTCAGTTCCTGTAATGTCCCCTTCAAATGTGGAAACAACCTGGATGTTTTTGTGCAGGGATCAGAGGTCGGGGTTCTTCTCTGGGTGGGTTCCTGGGTGAACTTCGAGAAGCCTGACCTTTCTTGTCTAGCCAAACTTTACCTGAGGTGGTTAGTGAAGATGTGGGGCTTGGAGACAGGAAGAATGCACCTCCTTGCTCAGCTCTGCTTGTCATCACTTAATCACTTCCAGGAGATGAGACGTTTCAGTGTAAGCCACCCCCTCCCCCCCTCCCCCGTCCTTCACTGTTTCCAGGCCTTAGATTGCTCAGACTGGAATTTCTTTCCTCCTTTCTAGAAAAACTCTTCCTGATGGAAAAAACCGGTTCACCTACCCTGTCAAGGCAATGTGTCTGACAGCAGCAGGAGGTACAGGCGGAATGAACGGAGGAACAAAATTCACGGATGTTGCCCACATGACTTTATTTCCCTCTTTCCCGGGCTCCTTTATCTTTCCCTGTCCTGACAAAACTTTGGCTTCCATGGGAAAATCAGGGGTGTGAAGGTGGGCTTTCTGTCCAAACTGTCCTGTTGGAAGCAAATTGAAGACTTTGTATGAGTTACTTCTGTTCCACAATTTTCCCTAGCCATCCAACCAGCAGGCATGGTGGAGACAGAGAATAAGGGGCAAGGGGGAGGGACTTCAGTCCCTCACTGGGCCTGGCTACCTCAGGATCAGTGCAGGTCACGAGACTCAGTCACATGACCCAGAAGAGGGGACCCCCCCTCCACCTGCCACCATGGAGGATGATCCTCCTAGCCAAGTGACTGACCGTCTCTGAGGTCAAGGAGAGGCAGGCCACTTCTTGTTCTGTTTCCTCAACCTTCCACACAGAGCTAAAGTGAGCCTGTATAGGTGTCTCTTGGTTTTTTATGTGACATGTGCTTGCTTCTGAAGACCCTGCCTTGGCCTCTCAAGGGCTGGGATTGCAGGTGTGCACTAGCAAAGTAGGAAGCACTCGGGGTACCATTCCAAAATAAAAAACAAGTTCCTAGCCGGGCGTTGGTGGCTCACGCCTTTAATCCCAGCACTTGGGAGGCAGAGACAGGCGGATTTCTGTGAGTTCGAGACCAGCCTGGACTACCAAGCGAGTTCCAGGACAACCTCCAAAGCCACAGAGAAACCCTGTCTCGAAAAACCAAAAAAAAAAAAATAATAATAATAATAAAAAACAGGTTCCTACCCTTTGTTCCTTAGAACATAAGGGTCCTCTCCTGGACCCTCACGTTCCCCACTTAGTTGAAGGAGCCTAAGTTAGCATTTCTGTGGTCAGCACTGAACACCTATGTTCAGGAGCTCTGGGGTAGATCCTGGGGCACCTGGCAGGGAACACAGAGGCTATCACAGTGCTTAGACCCAGATGAACCAGGGTTGCCCAGTTTGCAATACTGCTCTTTACATATGAATGACACACTGAGCGCTGGCTCCCTTAGGTGTAAGAGGAAGATGACCGCCATACTTATTTGACATCATATGTGGATCCAGAACAGGATAATGAAGCGTAGTGGCAATATCTTCTTAGCTATAAGCTGAAGCACATTTATTTTATTTACCCATCATTCAGCATTTGACACACCGTCACCTTATTCCTTTCTCCCAAAACATGGAGCACCAAGCATCTAAACGCAATCGACGTTGGCAGAATCATTCAGTAGAATCAGTACCCTGCCCTGGTGAAAAGATTTCTCTGAGCTTACTAGCCCTGAGACTACAGTTAGTGACAAAGCAGATGTATGCCTTATGGTCAACGGCCTGAAGACGAGGTCTTAGGAAACTCAGCCAGCTTCCTCTCCTCAGGGTGTCCTCGCACAAGCTGTTCTCTGGCTCTCTTGCTTCCCCTGTGAAACACAGGATGTTGTACAATAGCTGTATTTTTTTCCCTAAGCACTAGATGCCCAGCACTGTCTGTATTTTAGTCTTGTGAAATGTCTACTACAGCCCAGTCACTAAGTAAGAAGTCTCAGAGGTTGACTGTCTGCTAGATGGCAGGAAAGTACCATTTCTGAGAGCATGTCCACTCTTGAGAACTTTCCCAGCTACGTCCAATGAATTCAGCAGATGCCTCTTGTCCAAACCAAGTTCAGTGACAGCAGGGTTCTGGAACTGCTTAAATCAAGGTAAAAGCGCCAATAGAGCCTCCAGTGACAGGCCAGGTGGTTTGTTGGCACTCCAGCCCAAGGCTGGCATTTCCTGTCACCCTAGCAGCATCCCGCCCACACAGGGGTTGGAGGGCTGCTAAGCTTTGCTGGGGGGAGGCTGGGCTTAAGTAAGGAGCTGCTCCGGGCTTCCACCCCCTCAACTCTCAACCCTCAGCAACAAGCTACTCTCAGAATAGCAAATGAGCAGGACAATGCTGTCTGTAAAAATCTGTTTAATAAATATACATCTTAGAAGTACCAAAATAATTACCAACAAAATACACCATATACAACATTTACAAGAGGGTAACACAAACCTCAATCGGGAGTATCTTAAGCACATTCCACTCAACACCTGGTTCTGCATATGAGGACACACTGGACTCAGCTACTAGATCTACCGTTCAGTCAGAAGCACAATAAATAGAATATGGTCCCTTCATCAGTCTGGAAAACCACCTCCCAAAACCCCACGAACATGAGCTTTAAAAGACATTTTCTTTGAATGTCAATGATCTGTTTCCCCATTTCACAAAAATAATAAAACAAGGTCTACAATCACCACAGTAAGATGCTTGGTGAGAGGCTGTGTGCAGTGTGGTGGTGAGTATACCCCTTTCTTCTTTTTTTTTTTCTTTTCTTTCTTTTTAGAAAAATAAAACTCTTTGTTTTATACAAATATACAAGTCCATGTTCTTTTTGACATTTTCCACTCATAATGTCAGACGTTGGCCTCCAAACACACAGTCATCATAGGGCAGCTAAAACAGGAGGGGAAAAGGCATATTAAATTTCTAGAACTTTGCCAAGACATTGGGATGAGGGGAGGGGCTGTTTCTGCAAATAAACTCACAATCTTGGACTCTCCCCTCCTTAACCCAAATAAAATACATCCCCCAGGCTGTCGGAGTTTTCCTTCATTGATTCTCTCCCTTAAAAAAGTCTAAGCTGTCGAAGGAGGTGTAGCTCAATGGTAGAACACGTGCCTATTACCACGTGTTAAGGCCTGGGTTCAAACTCCAGAATCCCCCTGCCCCCAAGGATTAAAACAATCAGAGAAACAAGTTCTTGGGACACTGGCTTTGCAAGCTGTGTTTGAGAAGTTCAATAGTAATGTTGAGACCCCTACAATAAAGACTAGCTCTAGGGACAGGAGAGGGTGAGGGAGAATGGACCGTTCTGGTAGTGATGAAGCCTCACCTCATCCTCCGTAAACTCTGACTCTGTGTCGTAACTCTCCTCATCCTCACTCTCGGGCAGCATCTGAAGGTTTTCCAGGGTCAGCTGGCCCAGCTGCTGCTGTATCCGGGTACTGGGGCGGCCCCAGGTAAGCTGATAGGGGGAGTAGCCTTGGTAGGTTACTCTGTTGACGTCAGCCCCACACTTCAACAAGAGCGACACCAGCTCCGGGTTCTGCAGGTCCACCGCCAGGTGGAGGGCTGTCCGGCCATTGCAGGGCTCCTGAAACCGAAGCAATCATGCATGTTTAAGGCCACGTCTGGAAACCCACTGCAGTAAGAACAGACCCCAAAGAGTTCGGGAGGAACATGGCTGGATCCATCTGGAAGGGAGCTTCACTCACCTGGGCATTGACATCGGCACCCAAAGACACCAAATGCTCCACGATGCCCAGGTAGCCATGGATGGAGGCTAGGTGCAGACACGTGTGGCCTAGAGGAATAGGAGACAAAGATATACATATATAACTGCTTCCTTCAACCCTCACACAACTCATGCCCTATTTTCTTATGGGACAACCACAAATATCCTCAATTTTTAAGAACTCAGAATTTGGGTTCTGAATGAACATTATTGTAAAGGCATCAAGGAGGGATTTTTTTAAAAGTCCATATTGCGTGACCGTTTTATGTTGAGAGTTTAAGCTCTAGCCTAGACTCAAGGGGGCCCACCTCTCCCTCCCTTCTGTGTCCTGGGATGGACTGGCAGACCTACCGTTGTAGTTGGTGGCCTGCAGGATGGAGTGGAGATGCTGAGGTGTGCACGTCTGCGTCAGGACCCCTACACTGGCCAGGCAGCCCTGCTCACAGGCAAGATGGAGAGGGGTATTTCCTCGAAAGTCTCGGAGCTCAGGATCACAGCCAGCTTCCAAAAGTGCCTCAGCAATTCCTGGCTGGTTGGTGATCACAGCCAAGTGAAGGGGAGTCTACAAACGGAAGAGGAAACAGAAAGGGGATAAGCCATGGAGCAACTCCATAGTCTTGAGTTTCCCCGAACACCTTGTGGATTCTGCTCCTCCCTGACGGCTACAGGGGACCAGGCAAACATGAAGCCCCAGTTGGGTCGTTAAAGACCTCACCAAACCCCTGGGATTTTCTTCAAGTTCTAAGACGTTGGCTAATTTGAATGTCAAAGGCCAGGGCAGATAAGGGCTCAGTGACTATTAATTTAGAAACGCTTTGGGGGCGACTGAGCTATGACACCCGACTCCGCCACCACCAGGTCAAAGAGGGCACCGCTGGGCCAGCGCGCACCTGCTGCAGGGTGTTCTGGAAGTTGAGGAAGGCCAGGTCTCCCTTCACCTGCCGAATCACTTCCATGGTCAGAGTCTTCTCTTCATGGATGATTGCCAAGTGCAGGAACCTGGTGACAGGGAAAGCCCCCGAGGGGCGGTGAGCGCACTGCGTGGGGGCCCCCCGAGAGGCGCGGGCTGCGGGGGATTGCGCAAGGCCGGGGTTTCTGGAGGCCGCGGCCGCGGTGTTTTCCGCGAGGTTATTATGAGCTGAGTGTTCCTGGCAGGGGCCCAGGGACTTTCCGTGCCCCACCCCCTCCGGGCGGGCGCCGGCCAGACCGGCCCGCCCTCCGCCGCCCGGAACGCCCTGTACTTCCCCTCGCGGCCGCGCGGCGCCCGGCGGCTGCGCGCACAACTGCCTGCCAGGCCCGGGACTCGGCGTCCCCGCTGCCGCCCCGCCCCGCCCCCTGGCCTGCGCTCGGCTCGGCCGGGTCCGGAGCCGGGGAGGGGAGGACGGGCGGGGGGGATGGGATGCGACGGGGAGGCGGGCGGCCCGGGCGCTCGCAGCTCCCCCACCCCACCCCCGGTGAGCCCCGCCGCGCTCCCACCGTGCAGAGCCCCGAGCGCGCTGCAGGTCCCCCCACCCCGCGTCCGCCCGCCCGCCCGCCACCCCCCGCGCGCGACCCCGCCGCCACTTACGAGTCTCCGTCCTCCGTGAGCTGCTGCTTCCAGGGCTCGGCGGCCAGCGGCGCCTCCTGCGGCTGCAGGCGGATCTCCTGCAGCTCCCTCACCATCTGCTCGTACTCCTCGTCCTTCATGGAGTCCAGGCCGCTGTCGTGGCGATCGTCCACCAGCCGCTCCTTCTTGAGGCCGTCCCGCGGGCCCTCCATGGCCCAGTCCTGGCCGTGGCCGGCTGGCTGAAACATGGCTGCGCGGGG